TAATATTTTGTTTGGGGTACTAGAGCCCTACAAAAATCAGAAAAAAATTGTTTAGTGTAAAAACACCAGTGGCAGCAGACGAGCCAGCATTGATGGAGTGAGGAGAAGAGGAGGGGGCATTCAGGGGAGAGATGCAGGGCAGCCATGGAGCCCCACAGAAATGAAGCCCCACGGCTGGTGGGCTGCGCTCCAGGCTCCCAGCTAAGGCCTCCAGCCACAGGTCTGCTCTCCTGACCTTCACCTGCAGGGCTCCACAGCTGCCATGCTTCTTGCTCTGAATGTTCCCATCCCCACTCCTCCCCTGAGCTAGAACACCCTCAAATCTGCTGCTTGCAATGCTCTGGAAGCTCTAGGTAGGCAGATGAGGAGTTGCTGGGCATGGGACCCTTGGCTTTTCCTCGTGAATGTTCCAGCCCCAGAGCATCCATGAATGCTGGACCACGGATATTTCCAGATGAGGGAAGTCTGGATTATAGCAGGTCCAATTCCTTTAACATAATTCTACACCTACACATTTGATCAGAGATGCTCACTTAGTACATAAAATGGATGAATCAATGAATCTTACCTTGCAATTTCTTTTAATACAAGACTCAGTCTTGACACGTTATTTTCTACGTATCCAATCATCTCTAGCTCTCGGAGTGTCAGCAGCTGCTGTCGAGGATATATTATCTGACGCTAATAAAGAAAAATATTTGAAAGGAGCAACTGCAGTTCTATTCTGAAATGAGAATATAAAAATGGCAACTTCCTATTCAACAGTTCTGCTCTGTGTAGGTTTTCAGAATAACTGCTGATTTATATGGACTTGCACTGTGTGTTTTACACTGCTAAGAGAAGGACAGTTCAAACAACTTTCCGTAACTAATACTACCTCAACCCTTAGTTTTAAAAGATTTATAACTGCTGACAGCTACAGAGAATCAGAAAAGAAGAGTGTGTTACAGTTAATTTATCACACTGGCTGGCAGAGAGACTAAGGAACTATTACATGGACCAAACGTGCCAGTTATAGTTGTGGTCAGTACAATGGATCTGCATATTCTTCTTGTCTAGAGGTACTGCTTTAAAAAGTTGTGGCTGAGTGGGCTACAAAGTGGTTCAGTACTGGCGCTCAAGAAGTAGAAATAAGATAAAATTTTGTAATATTATCATTATCATTTATGCAGTTCTGCACAAACACTATTAACTTAATTTGCTAAATAGGACATGTAAATGAAGAATCTTATTTGCAAAATTTTACCTTCATCAGTTCTTCCAAGCAAGAAGCATATATTCTGAATACTGCTGCAGCAGATGGAGGTCCAATATATTGTTTTATATCTGCCCTGTCTACAAAGGCCATGTCAATTTTCTCTGTAATATTTGAAGTAGTCAAGATTACAACATTGGGATACCTTTTAAAACATGAAAAAAAAACCTTACATCATTTCTATCATTTACACACAAGAATCATCCATCAGGGGTGAGGCAAAGTGACTGTAAATTTGGTCCAAATCAGAAGTGGACAAATTGTTGCTCTTGCATAAATATTCAGCTAAATGATTTGAAGATCTCAATTTAGAGTAAACATATTCTACACTCAACCTCTTGTCAGCAATTTCTTGAGTCCCTGAAGACCGAAACATATGGTAGCTTGGAAAAGAGCTCCTTCCAAAATAGAGCTGAGGTAACATTTGCACTGGTGCTGCCCACAATGTCTTCTGCTTGGAGAACGGAACTTTAGTTTTCAGTACAGGCAGTCCCCAGGTTACGTACAAGATAAGAACAAACCTACAGTCCCTAAGTTGAATCTGTATATAAGTCGGAACTGGTGTCCAGATTCAGCCGCTGCTGAAACTGATCAGTTTCAACAGCGGCTGAACCTGGACGCCAGTTCTGACTTACATACAGATTCAACTTAAGAACCCCAGGCTCCGCGGCTTTGCTCTGCTTTGCTCCCCGTCCCCCTGGTCTGCAGACCAGGGGGACGGGGAGCAAAGCCGCGGAGCACGCGGGCAGCTGACAGCCCAGACGCGTCTGGGCTGCCCGCGTGTTCCGCCACTTTGCTTCCTCTCCCTGGTCTGCTGGAGACCAGGGAGAGGGAGGGCCCCGTTCGTAACTGCGGATCCGACGTAACTCGGGGACTGCATGTATTATCAAATCAAGCCTATTTTTATAAATACAAATTTCACTTTAAAAAACATCAAATCTTTTTAATTTGCATTTTTGTCTAGCATGTATTCTGTTTTAGTTCAATGGTAATTATACAAATATGCTTCCTCATTGAATAATAAACTTTTAAAAATTTTTGAATGATGTAATATTTTACCACAAAGAATTCACACTTTCATTGAATTTCTTAACAAAAATGTGCTTAAAATATTTTTTTTCTTTTAATGTGCTGGGACAAGTGGCTTCCATGTATCACACTCCTTCCACAGCCCAGACTGAACTTCAAAAGCTTAGCAAGGTTGAGAAATATGGAACAGAAATATCTACCTTTACACAATTCTCAGGGTTTTAATCCAAAACCCTATAAATTGTTCGTTCATTAGCAATGAAATAAGAAAAATTGGCTACTGTATATTTTGTTCCTCTCTCATGAACTAATGCAGATGCTCCACAAAATATTTCAGTTTTTAAGAAGCTTTAAAGTAATTAAGCATTCCTGAGCAGGTTTTACAGTACCTTACACATGTAAGACAGAAAAAGAATAACGGGCACTGTATTATAGTAATTAAAATTACTCTCAACTTCTCACAGATGCACACATGTAGAATTTGTGTTTTAAGATTTTGTATGGCTGTTTTTATTGAATGCAAATAAAACAGAATATTGAAATACTTCACATGGCTAGTGCACAAGATGTTCTGAATTCCATTCATTTTTTTCCCCTTCAAATTTACTCATAAGCTCTAGGAAACAACAAACATTTAAAAAATAAATCTAAATGGGAAATATCAGAACTACTTAAATTAAATGGCCCCACTGAAAGGAAAGACTCTCTTCCCACTCAAGCCACTGTGAGAAAAATCCTGCCAGTATAGATAGGCCTTGCTCCTTGACCTTCAGCTCAAAGTTGGACTGTGATGCACATAAGTAGAGGGTTCCCCCTTCACAAAGGGTGCATCTACACAGCACCCTTAGTTTGAAATAAGCTATACCAATTGCGTAGCTTATTTCAATATAGCTTATTGCTTAATTTGGCGCTGTCTACCCAGCACCAAATTTCAAAATAACACACTATTCCAAAATTCCCCTTAGCCCTGGTAGGATGAGGGTTATCAGGATGTTGGAATAAGCCACATGCTATTTCTAAACAAACTGCTTCAATAGATGTGAAATAACTCTACAGTGCAGACGTACTCCAAGGCTAGGTTTACACTGCAGGCTTTTTTGCGCAAGAACTGTTTTGCACAAGAGTCCTTGCGCAAAAGGTATTGCGCAAGAGCGCGTCCACACTGCGTGTGCTTTTGCGCAAGAGCTGTGCTTTTGAGCAAGAGCATCCATGGCAGTGTAGACGCTCCCTTGTGCAAGAAAGCTCTGATGGCCATTTTAGCCATAGGGGTATCTTGCGCAAGAAACCCGTTGCCCATCCACACTGCCTTCTTGCGCAAGAGGGCTCATTCCTCATGGGGAGAGGAATAACTCTTGCGCGAGAAGCCCTCTGTTCTGACGCTTTACTGTAAATTTACTTGTGCAAGAACGCACGTGCAGTGTAGATGCTCCGCAAGTTTTTGGGCAAAAACAGCTGTTCTTGCACAAAAAGCCTGCAGTGTAGACGTAGCCTAAGATTCAGCAGCAAATCGTGGTGACCATATTCCAAGAGGTATACATGTAGGGACTGTCAGTGTCCCAGATATTGGATCAAAGTCCAGATAAACACACACTGCAACAGCAAGGCCCAAGCCATAAAGCAAAGCTAAGAACTAAAGCCAGAGCAATCAAAGAATACTGGTATAATATGCTCTGTATATGACAAGCTGCTAAAAAAGAAGCTAGACACATTCTGCACTACCTGACCTTCAAGCAATCTCAAAAAATTGCATTGCAATAATTCACTCTATAGCTGACAAAGGCAAGGACAAGTGCGACGAAGTCTACATCAATCAGGGAAGGTCAAAATCTCTATGTCTTGCCAAACATTGGGGAAGAAAAGCTTTCTTGGCTATGGCTGTTTTTTAGATCTATGTCCATAAACTCCTATGGATCCAAAAATATGACCTGATTACTAAGTCTCAGAGACAGATTAAAAAAAAGCACCTTTCCTCAATTCAAGCAGCATTCATCACCATCATCTGTTCTAGTTTCTCCTCTCAACTTTCATGGGAGTTAACTATTGATTCTACCCATGTTTTATTCATTTTATGTGAAGACTATTCCATCACAACTCCTATTCCTCCCAAGTATCGTGACTAGTTTAAAATTCAGAATAATTAAATTAGTCAGAGATTTTGGATTAAGATTCTAAATGAGAACTGTGTAAAGGTAGGTATTGGAATCTGTAACCATTTAGCTACATATGTTCTATATTTTTTAAATTAGCACCCAACTTAGTGATTCTTAGTGATGTTTTGCTATGGTAATATAGCCATCATGAACGTTACCTTTTAATCTGATCTATTTGTGTTAACACAGCATTCACCACACGGATAGCATCTGAAGGCTCTGTGCCTGCCCGGAAAGCGCTACGGGCTGCTGTGAGACTTTCAACCTGCCAAAAAAAATATATATATATTTTTTTTCCCCAAGAGAGCTGATACCAAGTACTTCAGTGATAAGGAGGTGAAATAATCCAGGCAATACATTTTCAAATTGCTGAGAATCTACTCTTAAATGAGAAGTAGTTTCGCTGAAGTCTTCTTTGTGGACAGGGAAGTAGGGGCAGAACATGGGAAAAGACACTGAAGATCACTGCTTTCAGGGATCAACAAGGAAGGACATCAGTAAAATGTACTTTGGATATACATACTGCCCTACTGAATCATCAGTGCTCTGTCTAGGCAAAAATGTCCATTAGTGAACAATTATGGAGTAACTCAGTTATTAGCTATGGGGTGGGCAATAATTTTTGCAGGAGGGCCATTTGATGAATTTTGGTACATGGTCACAGGCTGGCTCCACCTCCCAGAAGGGGCAGAGTTGGAGACTAGCCTCCCTCCAGAGTTGTCTGGGGCTGGAGAATTTCAGTTAAAAACACAGCAAAAGACTCGCGGCTCCCAGCCCCACCTCTATCATGTTGCCTAGCAAGCACCTGGGGTTGCTGCTGCCATCTAAATAGGATCCTGCTGCTTGAGACCTGGAAATTTGGTAGCATAGACATCAGGATAGAAATAGAAAGTGGCCAGATACAGTCCGCAGGCAGATCAAAGTATTAGGTGGGCCGGATCTGCTCCCCAGACTGCACCTTGCCCAGCCCTGGATTAGCTGATGCTCTCAGATAGTTAAATTTATATGGGATCGAAACCTAACCTTCCAAATTTAAAGTGTAGACATTCTAATCCATACAACTGTATACTTTAACCCTATTAAATCCTTGATCTTAAAGCTAAGATTTTATCATGGATATTTTTTGAAATATAGTCAAATCATGAACAATAATAAAAAATTCATAGATATATGTGACCTGTCCTTGACTTTTATTACAAATATTCATGACAAAATAGGGAGGGGAGGGAGGTCCAGCACCTGCAGTAGCTAGGAGCTCTGGGGTCTCTGCTTGAATTTCACCCTTCTTCTGCCGCCCCCCCCCCCCCCCCCACACACACACGGCTCCAAACTCTGTGGACACCCACCGAAAGTGGTTGGGAGAGGCACACGTGTGCAACTAGGCAATTGTGTCAGGTCCTCTGCTGCCCATGTGGCAGAGATATCCAGGGTAACCCTACTGACCTCAGTAGTTGGGAGCTGTGGCATCCATCTGCTGCTCAGCAGCTAGGAGCTTCAAGGCCCACTGCCATCAGCAGCTGAGAGCTGCTCCAGGCTAAAGAGGAAAATGTCATAGGGAAGGGGACAGTCTCTGGAAGTGACAGATTCTGTGATGCAATTGTAGCTTTTGTCTTAAATATACCTTGTGACAAGTAATTCAAAAAGTGCTTTATATGAAAAAGCACTTCCTTTTCACATTTTAAAATGTATTGTGTGTTTGATTGGCTGTCCCCTTTGTTTGTAACATTAGAGTCAATAAGTATCACTGATAGATTCTCTACACCAGGGGTGGGGAACCTCAGACCTGGGGGCTGGAAGTGGACCCTGGAAGTGGACTCTAGCCCCTTGTGGGGCTAAAGCACACAAAATCTACTAGCCTAAGCCCCTCAAGGATCTGCTGTGTGAGGAGAATGTAGGGAGTGTCTTTCTCCTTCTCAGTTGGGGCCAGTCAGTGAGGCTGTATCTAGGCTGGCCAGTTTTTCCAGAAAATCAGCCGCTTTTCCGGAAAAACTTGCCAGTTGTCTACACTGGCCGCTTGAATTTCCACAAAAGCACTGACTTCCTACTGTAAGAAATCAGTGCTTCTTGCGGAAATACTGTTCTGCTCCCGTTCAGGCAAAAGTCCCTTTTGCGCAAAACTTTTGCGCAAAAGGGCCAGTGTAGACAGCCCAGATTTGTTTTCCACAAAAAAGCCCCCATCTCGAAAATGGCGATCGGGGCTTTTTTGCAGAAAAGCACGTCTAGATTGGCACGGACGCTTTTCCGCAAAAAGTGCTTTTGCGGAAAAGCATCCGTGCCAATCTAGACGCTGTGTTCCGAAAATGCTTTTAATGGAAAACTTTTCCGTTAAAAGCATTTCTGGAAAATCATGCCAATCTAGACGCAGCCTGAGGGTTTTAAGTTTTTTTGCTTCTCACTTGTGTGCAGCTGCTGGGTTTTTTTTTTCCCCTGTGGGTCAGTGGCCTCCGACCCAAAAAAGGTTCCCCATCCCTGCTCTACATGATTTATTATTTATCATATGCCCTGTTGTTCATCTCCCTTAACTAAACATTCCTAATATTTTCAATTCTCCCTTCTGTGAAAGTCTCTCCATGCGTCAATTTGTCTTCTCCCTTTGAATGCCTTTATTTACTTTATTTTTGTGATAGGCTGACCAGAATTGAACAAATATTTGACGCATACAGTCAGCTTATATGCTATGCTATCCAAGTTCTCATATACTTGCATTTTTTCCCCATGATTACCGTGGACTGAGCAAAATTTTCATAGAATTATTTACAACATTCCCTAGGTTTTTGCACTGAGTTATTTAATTTAGAACCTATTGAGGTGTGTTATCAAGACCACAGAGAAGTTTGTGGGAACCTGGGATAAAATCTGAAAATAAATAACTTTATTGGAAAGATAGCGGTATCTCTAGGAAGGAGGGAGAGAAAAAGAGGGGGGGTGATTTAAAAGTGAGCCTGCCCTACATTCACCCAAAATGGCAGCCCATGTCTCACCGGCTAGGCCTGGCTCCATGCATTGTGAACTGGTAAAGTGGGTCATGGAACCACTCATGTTTGGCTCCATCATGATGGATGCCGCCTTTCCAGGCCAAATGACAGTAGCGCTGTAACCCTTTGTGCAAGGTCACAATGAAACTTTGGGGCCCTCTCAAATGGGGGGTCCAAGGGCAAACTACCTCTTTCACCCTCACCTCTGTGCAGCCTAATATACAATTAGTTGGATTTATTCCTTCAAGTTTCTTCTACCTTAATCTAATATAGAATAGTCAGTCAATGTAGACATCATGCCACCTCATAAACTTAGCTTTTCAGAATATAAGATTTTCTAGCAGGGACACTGAAACAGGGAGCAGAACATTGTACCCCGCAATAACCAACTCCTTGCATGACAGAACCTCTTGCTGACCTTTCAGCGCAACCCAAGGGCACGCTGCTTCCCCTCTCAGATAGAACCTGTGCAAGGGAAGCACACAAGACCCCACTGAAGGGCTGGGGCTGAGAGGGTCTGTGTCTGGTGGGGGAGGGCACCAATACTCATGGGGTGTAGCCTTCCACTCTCCTAATCCAAATCCTTCAACACAGACCCATTCACTTCATCTGCACAAGTGGGGAGTGCAACAAGCAGGGAGCTTGATACCAGCTGTTAAGACCAGCCAACTGGTAAGACCAGCCAACTGGTACAGGGAGCAAAAGGCTTCTTCAACAGCTCCAGTTGTCAGTACGTCCCTCCTCCTCGGAGCCCGATAAACGGAACCTGATAAATAATGGGCACCCACCCCCCGATTCTGAGTTTCCTGGACACTATTAGAATACAAAGTAGGAGTTAGCCTATCCCTCTGTAAAATACCTCATTGTCTTCTAGCCTATACAAGTAAATAACTAGTCATTCACACATTTTTCCACCTCTCTGTTCACAACCTTGTGGCTAGACTGCCTTATCAACTGAAACATGCCATCCTGTTGAACATAAACTAATGTACATTTATGAAGAAAAATCTTAAACTGCACCTTCTCGGTGTTAAATCTTCAGCCCTGAAGAGCACTCATTAGTTCAACTCAGTTATTTTCTCCACTGTAACGGTTTTCGCCACCCTATTCTGTTATATAGCAATCTTTTATTTAGTCTTGGAAATGAAAGCATGAAGTATCTGAAGAGATGATATTGTCCTCAAACTCTCTCTCAGCCTAAGCCACATCTTTGCTACAAAACATTGTTTCAGCAAGTTACATCAACATAAAGCTGCTGCAGTTAATATATATCTCTACAGTGTGGGCATACTGGACTCCTCATGTTGGCATTGGGTGTTCTCACTAGGAGTGTTTGTTTCAATGCACTGCAGGGCACTATGGGTGGATATTCCAGTAAACAACTCACCACAGTCCAGAACATTATCTTTTGGGAAGTTTCAGCAATGCATGGTGAATCAAAATGATGTGCAGAGTGAGAGACTGGGACTGTGGGGTCAAATTTTTTATCATACAACTTTCTCCACCATCTGTTTTTAAAGTCCCATGAATCCACCTGAGACTTGTCATTGTCACCTCAGACAGAACATGGAGTTGGCTCAGCTCTGCATTATTACCATGACTGTTGCAAGCACAGGATTCACAGTCCTCTAGTATTTGCAGAGGAGTAAGAACAGCTGCTGGGAATATGTCCATTTTCTAGACGTCAGAATGCTTTGGGACATAAGAACCATTTCAAGGTTGGTGGTGGTGTTCACAGAGCAGCTGCAGATGGTGGAGAATCCCTTCTGGGCCTGAGAAATGATCACTGACTGGTGAGCTTACACCACGATGCAGGCTTGTGATGAGGAGCAATGGATGCAGAACTTTCCGATGTACAAGACCACATTCTTGAATTCATGGGCCAAGCTTGCCCCAGTCCAACACGGTATGGACACCAAAATGAGAGATGCTCTGACAGTGAAGAAATGAGCTGCAATTGTTTTGTGGAAACTTGATGTCAAATTGCTATTGGCCTATGGGAAATCATTTTGGAGATGGAAGGGCCACTGTGGGATCTGTTGCCTGCAAGTGTGCAGAGACATTAATGATCTCCTGCTATGCAGGTCCATGGCTCTCAGCAATATGCAGGAAACAGCAGATAAATCTGCAGCAATGTGGTTCCCAAATTGTGGTGGAGCAACAGAAGGCACGCATATCCCTAATTCTGTTATCAGACCACCTTGCCACGGTAGAAAGGGCTACTTTTCTATAGTTACAGAAGCATTAGTGGATCACTGGGGATGCTTCACTGACATCAAGGTTGGCTGGTCAGGGAAGGTGCAAGATATTTACATCTTTAAGAGCTCAGGACTATTTAGAAAGCCACAAGCAGTGACTTAATCCATTGGTCAAAAAAGTACCATGAGAGATGTTGAAATGCCAATTGATCTTTGCTGACTCAGCTCACCTCTTGCTCTGCTGGTTCATGGAGCTGTACACCAGCCACTTTGACAGCAAGAAGGAAAAATTCAACTACCAGTTCAGCAGAGGCAGGATGACAGTTGAATGAACATTTGGTATACAGGTAGTCTCCGACTTACAAACGCATCGACATATGACCAGCTGCACTTATGACCAATCTCCCATTAAGCGCGGCTCCGACTTATGAACGGCAATCTGCGCTTACGAACAGTGCGGTTCCATTGAAATGAATGGGGTCCGACTTACGAACACATCGAGTTACGACCAAGTGCTTGGTACGTAACTCATTCATAAGTTGGGAACTATCTGTACTGAAGGGATGTTGGAATTGTCTACTCACAAGATTCGATCTCAAAGAAATCCCAATGGTTCTAGTTACCTGCTGTGTCCTTCATGATAACTGTAAAGCAAAGGGGGGAAAGTTGATGTAGTGGAGGCGGAGATGGAGCAACTGTCTGAATTTCAACAGCTAGCTATATGGGTTATTGGAAGTGCTTAGTGCGGAGAGAGGCTTTAAAAGAGCACTTTAACAGTGAGCTATAGTAATGCATTGTGGTATACCATGCTCTGCCTGGGCCTGCTGTTCTGGGACCGGTTAGTAATTGTGTGGCACTTGATGTACATCTGTAAATTTAGCACTATTAATTTTGTAGTTCTTGCTATACATTTTGATGATTACACTATCACTGATCCTGTAAGCTGTGTCATACAGAACAGTAACAAGTAGATGCTTCCTAACTGGTAGGCACTCTGCAGCATAAGTTGTGAAAAGATTAATTTTCGAAACATAATTTTGTTAAGTAACAAAACCAGTGCAAAGAAGTATCTGTGAAATTTAAAAGCAAATATATAAAAAAAAGTAAGGAAAAGAACATGTATCCATTTAACCTACATATATAGCAACCATGTTTTACCCCATGTCAGTGTATATTAAGCTGCAGTTTTCTTTTATGTCCCCAGCACAGAGTGGTAGACACAGGGATGCAGCTCCAGATACAATATAGAATGTGGAGGATTTTGTGTAGAGTGACATTACAACATCTCCCTATGAGCTACAAAGTTAGGCAAGCCTGTTGTTGTTCCTGTAGGTACACAAGATTCCACAGCATCTGTTTGCGCTGCTGGAGAAGCCCCATTGTGTCCTGATGCATCTCCCTCTCCTTCCTGGGACTGTCTCGCCTGCTCTCCTCATATATTCAATCTGTAATATTCATAGAATACTAGAGTTGGAAGGGTCCTTGAGATCTCATCAAATCCTGTTCCCTGCCCTCATGGCAGGATCAACCACCGACTAGATCATCCTCCAAGCTCTGTTTGTGGTCTGATGCAGCAATGGCTTGCAAGATCTCATTGAACAGGTCTTCCCTAGTTCTCAACTTTCTTCTCTTTCTCTCTCAGATGTCCTCAAGGCCACAAAAACAGCAAAAAAGCAGATACTATTGTCAGTGTAGTCACAACAGAAAGCAAGTTAAGATTCAGAACTCCTTTCCTTTGCTCCCCTGAAGTTTTAAACAAGTCATGCTAATTGACAGTTCTGCTTATGAGTGCTTACGTACAGCACCACTCTCAGTCTCAGACATGGTGAGCGTGGTCTGATGGAAGTGAGAAAATGAAGAGGAAACTGCTTGACTGCATGAAACTGAGTATTGGGCAATAGCACTGAATACTGGCAAATTTTTTCATAAGTGGTGGTGATCTTAGCAGATATCTTACTCCTGAGGGTGACAATGGCTCAGAAACCACAGCTGCTGCAAGAGTCGCAAAGCCGCCTACAGTATGTTAGCTTGTGTGCTGGATGGAATATGCTGAAGTTACCACCAACTAGTACAGGAAAAAATTCTATGAAGAAGAAGCAATAAGTCCACTGTCCCTAGAAACCTTATGGAGAGAACTGCTGAGTACCTACATAAAAGTTACATTGAGATCTCAGGAGGATTCAAGGCACATCCCGGTATATTTAAACCAATTGCTCCACATGGATGCCCCACCTCACTCCATAGGGGTATGAAAAGCAAGCAGAGTTCTCTTTCTTTGTTGTACCATTACCCCTCCTAGTATAAGAAAATACTGCATCAGACTTATGTATGCTCAATTGTTGGGCGCACAGTGGAGTCTCAAATAGGTCCTATCTGGTGACATAATTGGACACCCCATCTCATGTCCCCCATCTTCCTCCTTGCTATTCATTCCAAGGAGCTACGACTCAAACTCTTGAGAGTATCCACAGTAGTCAGCAGGGTGGCAGTGGGGGCTCTCTGCCACATAGGTTGAGCAGCTTTCTGTAAATGCCTAACGTCTGTGGATTGGCACCAGATTGACTGTTGGCCTTCCTACCCTTCTGATATGCTTCACGCAGTTCCTTCACCTTCGTGTGGTACTGATGCTGACCTGCTGAATCTCTTCTCCTGCATCACCAGTGCAATCTGCTCATAGCAGTCCATGTTTCTATGGCTGGTCCTTAGCTGTGTTTGCATAACCTCTTCTTTTCAGAGATCCAGGAGGATCCAACATCTCCTGTCTAATCCAAGCAGGCGTGTATCGCCCGCATGGTCAGCCAGGTGGTTGCGCACAACCATAGAAAGTTACTAGGTGTGCTCGCCAAGCTGGACAATCAGGAAAAGGCATTTCAAATATTCATGAGGTTTCAAGAGGGTAGGTTTCCAGTGGAGTTCATAATTGTGGCCAGAGTAATCAGTGTTTGGTATGGTGGAACAGCTGCTGGAGGACTGTTAGGATCAACAAAGGTAAAGAGTCTACACTCATGCTACATCAACTTCAGTACACTGACCATGGTTGAATGTTGTTTGGAGAGATAAAGTTACAAAGTTGATGTGAGCGAGAACTTGTATCGGTGTGAGACAAGGTTAAGTGTGAACACATGCAAAGTAGCTTACATTTACCTAACTTTGTAATGTAGACCAGGCCTAAGACAGACCCTTATTAGTTACACAGAGAAAACATTTCTTTTTAGAAGGTGATTATTCTGAGTACCTTGAAGAGATAAGCAAGCATTCCTTAAAATTGTGACTTCAATATTATAAAGTTATAACATGATGCAATCCCCTATCAAGTTAGTTACAGCAGACTTCTGATAATCCAGCACCTTTGGGACTCTAGACCAGGCCTAAGACAGACCCTTATTAGTTACACAGAGAAAACATTTCTTTTTAGAAGGTGATTATTCTGAGTACCTTGAAGAGATAAGCAAGCATTCCTTAAAATTGTGACTTCAATATTATAAAGTTATAACATGATGCAATCCCCTATCAAGTTAGTTACAGCAGACTTCTGATAATCCAGCACCTTTGGGACTCTCTGGGGGGACCCTGCTCCCCTCCCGGAAACTCTCGGCGGTGGCGTGGGGTTTCCCCCACCTTCCTGCAAAATGGTGGAGGGTTCACCCCTTGCTGTGCCGTTCCCCACCCACCCCCGGCCAGACGCAGTGCGGGTCCCGGCAGACCCATCACAGGGGTATAATCCCCTTTCCCTCTTCTCCCCTTCCCTTTACCTTTATAAAAAAACAAAAAACTCCATGAAATGAATAGGTGGCAGGTTAAAACAAACCAAAGGATGTTTTTCTTCACTCAGTGCAATGTCAACCCGTGGAAATCCTTGCCAGACCCATGGGGCTCATAGCAGCTCCAATTGTCCAGCTGGCCGAAGCACTTCCAGGTTCCAGTTGGTGCCGGACTATTAGGAGTGCCGGACAATTGGAGTTTTACTGAATATAAGAAATGTATCAAAAGATCATCTAGATAGTGAGCTAAAACTAACAGTAAAACCAGATTAAGAGACCATATTAATTCCACAACTCCCATGACCTGTATTACTAAACGCTTTTCTTAATGTAAGACAAAAAGAGTACAATATATATGCGTAAACGTGTACAGGGAATAGCCACCCAAACAAAGCCCAATACAGGAAACAACTTCCATTTCCCATCTACCTGCAGCTGGAAATGTTTTGTCTGAGAATTCAACCTACATTCCTCTCACTCTGCTGTAGTGATGCAATATCCTCTACCACTCTTACACACTCATTTACATATAATTAGATTACTCACAGCAGAATATAATATGCTTTAGTATTTTCTCTAAAAATTTAAACAATCATCTTTTATTTCAGTTCACATTCTCAAAAATTAAAGGAATTGCACATCTTAGTGCCATTGAAAGCATACCTCATCAATCAGTACAAATACAAGAGCATCCTTATCATCAATTAACTCTTGAATCTTCTGGAACATCTTGGTTACAAGTTTGCCACTCTGAAAATACAAATATAATAGGCTATTTTACGTAGTTTCCCAAGTCTTAGTTTATTTGACATTCTAATTGTAGCCACATATAAACTGGCTCCCAGAACAGATATACAGGCAGTCCCCGATAGGGACTGTAGGTTTGTACTTAAGTTGAATTTGTACTTATGTCGGAACTGGCGTCCAGATTCAGCCGCTCTGAAACTGACCAGCGGCTGACTACAGGAAGCCCGAGGCAGAGTTGCTCTGCCCCAGGCTTCCTGGAATCAGCCGCTGATCATTTTCAGCAGCAGCTGACTTGGGGACGCCTGGGGTAGAGAAGCTGGGGTGCTGCCGGTTGGTCCCCGCAGCGCTGAGGTGCAGCGCTGTGGGGACCTACCCGGCAGTGCCCCAGCCGCTCTGTCCCAGGCGTCCA